GCCGCCCGCGTACCCGGCCACAGCCGGAGAGCAGCCTGCACCGCGGCGGCAGGGCACAGTTAAGTGACGTACAAAATATTTATGAAAAAATGTGCATTTTAAATAAAGAACTGACAACAACTTGAAACTTTATACAAAACATTACGGTGGCCATTTCAGTGTCTCAATTCTAGGAGCTTTTTTTGAACTCTCAGTGTCCTGTTTTCCACCCCACGTCCATCTCTGCAGTCTCCTTCCCCAGAGAGCTCTGTCTCTGTCCAGCTCAGTCCAGAGTACCTAAAAATGAAAAAAAAACAAACAAAAAACCCAAAAAATTACAGTCTCAGGAATCAGAAATGCAGTTATGTGAACAAATGAAACCTGCTTACAAGCTGCCAAAGGAATATGCAGTAACTTTTTAAAGTTTAAGCAAAACACACACAGGTAAAACCAAGTCTAGCAAAAAAATAGCGTACGTGTCTCAGGGGCCACCTGATTTGTGTTCCACCTCTCAGCAAAGGGCACAAGTTACACTGTTAATTATTAAAGATGTGGAAACAATGCACTCTGCGGATGATTAAGTTCTTTCTCTCCCAAGGAGATTACACAAAATAATGAAACCAAGTAGAAACTCACCTTCCAGAAAAGCAAATTCATCAATAGCTTCAATGGCGTTATCTGCAAAGCAAATTGAAAACAATAAGCATAGATAAACCGACTCCATATTTGCATCTGCTTCAAATGGCAGCATCTGAAATCACATCACCGTACAGGGACCAATTGCAAAGAGGTTTACTTGCTTTGGAGCTGCTGTGTGAAATTATTAGTGTAATATTTGGTAGAAATTTTTCTCTCCCATCTTCAGAGAAAGAAAGAGAGGCACCTATGATTGCTTCATCACACCAGGACAGGTGGAAGAATCCTCCATCCTAGCAACCCTTTGCTAAGGACAGCACAGGAAATGCTCTCATACCCAGGTCTTTTCTCTGCAGAGTTTTCCTTTTTCCTTGCTGAGCGTACACGTAAGCATCTTTGGCTATGGTTTCAACAAACAGCTCCTGCAAGGCAAAAACAAGACAGTTTCACACAGAGGACGAGAGAGGGAAGAGAGAACATCCTGAGGAAAGGTCCTACAAGACTTCAGGAAGAAACCCGAATCTCCATCTTAACATTTCCCCTTTCCAATGAGCAGCTCTGAAAAATAACGAATGAAATTGTTGGACAGTGATGCAGATGAGAAGTGACAAGGGAGGAGAGGAGGCCAAGAGTGTATTGGATACAGATGGCTCCTCTGAACACGTCTGGGAGAGCAGCTACACACCAGTTGCTCCTTCTGCAGGAGGAAAGGTGTCCTGTGCTCAGCGGATGAAGTGGATTGAGCACGACTGCCCTCGCCAGCCACCCAGCAGACACCACGGCTGTGGGAACCAGATGCCCAGCAGCAAGCCTAGGAGTTACTGCAGGGAGACGCCAAGGCCAGAGCCTCCACACGGACGCCTTCACGTGGTGCCAAAGCCACCCCACCAAGCGCACCTCGCCTGTGCGGTGGGAGACGCTTTCCGAGGGAGGAAGACACCCCTCTGTGACAGACCGCCCTGCTCTGCTCATCGCAAACAGGGCGAGCTGGAAACCCACCCCAGCGGGCACCGAGCCCCGGCGCTTCCCTGAGGCTTCCACG